CATAAGCGTGCTGGACGATGACGTTCTGCATCTTTCCAGTCTTTGTGTCCTCAAGCGGAATGACGTGTCGGATGTCGTCGAAGGACACGGGGAAGGATTGTGGTTGGGTATCACCTGTGTGTCCCATTCTGTCTTTGGCCCATTCAGGAATGATCACATCGGCCTAATTGAGAAACATCGGTGAGCGATTTGTTTTGGTGGCCAAGAGGTCATTGACCTGGATGACTGATCCGCGGGAGACATACCATGTTGATACCCTTAATCAGGACAGTCTCGCTGTCACGGTTGACCTGCTGAATAACATTGATCTTTCCCTGATCCCGGCCTCGCACAACGCAGACCCGGTCACCTTCGGCGAAGAGGACATGCCTCCGTTGTTCGTGCTTAGGGAGGCGCGGTGGGTGCAAGATGGAAGCATCCTGACCACCGTATGTAGTGCGCTGAAGACCAGAGTCTCGCATAGGAGCAAGAGGCCCCTTTTCCCAATCTTCCCAGCGATTCTTTCGTGCTGTTTGGAATTGACTAGACAGCGCGCCGCCGAAATCCTTCCGTGCCCGCCGAATCCCAACACGTTCCAACAATTCCTGTCGTTCATGAGCTTTGTTGGTTTTTTTAAGGGCCTGCTTCCGCGCCGAAGCTGTCCGTTGGATAACTCTCTGCATATTGAGTGTTGTGGTCCAGCAATGGCCGAACGTTGTCTCTGCCTTAGAATTCCTGACTCGCGGATCGAAAATTGAGGGTGTCCGAGGTGCCACGTGATCCCGGTCAATATGTATTATGTCATCATCGGTCGCCGCCCGGCCGCCTGTAAACATTTCGAGTATACCGAGACCAACCATTCTGCATATGATTACATGCTAGTTGGTGACTCAATCGACGCTTTTTATCATTTTCTTTGAAATTCGGTTACATGTAGCCCTCTGTATTTATAGGGGGGAAACACTTCTTCTGGAAAAGTGACAACGAAGTGATCCCCTTCCTTACCGAATACGTTATTTTAATTCTTCTACCTGTCTAAATTCAGGCTTGCAGGCCGAAGTCAGGCCTTAAGGTATCAATAGTCAGTAAAAATGAGTCTATGGGACTGCGTAGATCTTCAGTGTAGTCATGAGCTACGTAATCAGAAGTAGGAACTATCGTCTCTTCTATAGTTATCATGTTGTCTAGTGGGCTTTTACTCTCCTGTTTCATAGTTACATATACTAGCTAGCCACTTTAGCATATTTTCATTTTAGCACGGTCTCTCAAAATGACTCAGTTCTGAGGTCAGCACTGCTGGGTCGGAAGATCTCAATTTCCACTCATGAGATATAACCTATAGTGTAATCACCGAGTTCATTCGCCGTGGCACTAATCGTGAATTTAGAACATAAAGGCGATTTAGTGGTTATACGTTGTAGGTCTAGGGTTTAGGTTAATGCGCTAACCTAGCTAGATTGTACTTATATTTATACTATATATTTTATATATAGAGTGTATGTATAGAGTGGCTATATTTATATGTTAGGCTAATAACAAACTGATAGCTATCCTATAACGAAAGTATATTATGAAGTTATATAATTCCTTTGCAACCCCAAGCCCTAATTAGTGCCTTGAAACCTTTGTTCTGCAACGCTCTTTGTATTTCGAGGAGTTAGTTGGCTTTTCGATTCTTGTTAGGCGCTAGAAAATTTGGGTTACACAGTAAGCACTGGGTACTTTAGGTGGAAGTTAGTATGTGTAGTCATCGAGCATCAAGACGTGGAACTGGAGTGAAAAGTCCTCTTTGTGAGCAGTATTTCCTCTTGCATGTTTTGCTCTTGATTAACCTGTTGCCGAGGTCTGGGTGTGCTTCAATCTTATTTTTAGTCAAAACCTGGGGTTTGATCATGGGGCAGTATTTGTATGTCAGATCGATCGCCAAGTCCACCATACCACCAGTTGATGGCTATCGAAATTGCGACCTTATTTCAATTGAATATTCTAAGCGGTAAATGAAACGACACCGATAAACATTCCAATTGTGTGTGCATGGATTCTGTTGGCGCCGATCGACGAAGCGCTAAAGCGTTCACATTTACTCCGTACTCGAACGGACAATGCTCTCCTATTTTTATTTCCAAGAAACGACTTAACGGCTTGTGGCTTGTGGGCGCAAGCTCCAGGATTTGGCCCCTGTTTACTATTTTTAGCCGGCACAATGTGATGATTGGAGCTGGTGATATATAAGCTCCACTTTCAAAACAGCAGCTTCAAGAATGCTGTGAAGTCATGTAAGCTCGTAAGCAAGCGAAGAGGGTCAGTTTTCATGATTTAGTTGAATGACAGATCAAAAATGCCATAATTTAATGACCCCAATGGTTTGACAACACATCCAAGTTAGCTGGGACCCCCCTGTTTGCGACAGCAAATGAGATGGGGTTTGCCAGCGGAGAGCATGAGATCGTTGGAAACCTCCACCTACAAGGTAGTGAGTACATGCCGAGAGCTCCCGGGGAGCAGATCAACGCCAGAAGCAACCGAGATACAGGGAACTATCGGAGCGATCTTCACTGGCCGGGCCAAGCACTTTGGGTGAAGGTTGCCATCTCGTAGCCCTCGAGGCAGCCCGTAGAAGCCTGCACATCCTAGTATGGTGGTACATCATCATATGTGAATTTCAAGGACGTGGAGTTAATAAATTGTCATAGTTGTCCTTAATCTTACATGCGGTGAATGTTCATTGAATATGCAAGTACCTTGGGATTTCCTCAAAATATAGGTTTTGGTTAAGCTTGAACCACTCTACTCCGTATGGTGAAAGTCGGAGGATACTAGTGAAATCCAGAGCAGATACCATACAAAGTAACAGGATCTCGGGACTGATATCACATTTTGCTCATGTCAGATACCATAGATTTCATAGCCACGGGTGGCTGTGCTGACTGTATGGACAAAGAGCGACCAAGTGGGCCTGATGATGTGGATGGAGCGGGTTTTTTTGGGCCTCAGCCACACATATTTAGGGCTGTGTATCCATTAAGTTCCTTTTTTTCTCTGTTAACCTTGGAAAAGGGGAGAGACTATAAGCCACATTTTTTTAAAAAAAAAGGTAGCCTGAAACTCAGGGGGTACACATGGGTATGTGCTCATTGTAGCGTGTTGGCACGATCGTACGTAGTAAAGGTGACTAGTAAAGGTAACGTACTTCAAATGTTAAGTACACATATGCATACCAATACCAAAAAGCTGTGCAACGTATGAAGTACTGAGCCAGTACTTTTAAGGCACATGCGCAAATCGATACCTTTGCTAGAAACCATTGAAGGGAACTCCTCTAAGGGGAAAAGCCACAATACCGATACACCAACTGGCAACAACAAATACCGTATACTGCCACCGCCCTCCGTTGTCTGGCCTGGTCTTCTATCTTTCTCTCCTCCACCTCCAAATCATCATTCCATCGTCTTTTTTTCATCGCTTCCCATCGGAAATACCTACTCCATCTTCCTCATTTCTCTAGAGCTATTGCTGCTGGCACTAGCTGATTTACTGTATTAAATCTACTACACCGTTGCGCCTTTGAACACTGTATGGGATCACCCTTTTCCTTTTCCCCCCTCCTCGGGAACCTGACTTCGCCCTTTCTTCTCGATCGTCTTGTCTCTGTCAGCCCCTCATACTTGTAGAAATTCTTCATTTGTTGAAACTCTCGGACTTGCGGGGCTCCCTGAGCCGTTCCTGCTTATTTGCCCCTTATACTGACTTGTTCCTTATAAAGATGGCCGAGATCCGTCGCAAGCTCGTCATCGTTGGCGATGGTGCCTGCGGTAAGACCTGTCTGCTCATGTGAGTACTGAAAGTGGCTCCCTTTTCGAGGGGGGTCTTCCCCCAAACCTCGGCGTTTACTTTTTGGTTCGGCCGCCTGACTCAAGTTCACAGTGTTTTCTCCAAGGGCACCTTCCCCGAGGTAAGCTCCTATCCTTATGCGAAACCCCGATTCCCGAAACTACGTTCCATATACCCAGGAACACAAGCTGAAGAAGCATAATCCGTGACGGATAATCTGACTTTGTTTCCGTCAGGTCTACGTTCCCACAGTCTTCGAGAACTACGTCGCCGATGTCGAGGTTGATAACAAGCACGTCGAGCTCGCTCTTTGGGATACTGCTGGCCAGGAAGATTACGACCGTCTCCGTCCTCTCTCATACCCCGACTCACATGTGATCTTGATCTGTTTCGCTGTGGACTCCCCCGATTCGCTCGACAACGTCCAGGAGAAGGTGGGTGTCTTATCTCTAATCGATCACACATCCCGAAGCAAAGAACTGTTTGGGTGCGAAGTGGACCGAATGTGCTGACGTACTACAATAGTGGATCTCCGAGGTTCTGCACTTCTGCCAGGGTCTCCCTATCATCCTCGTCGGTTGCAAGAAGGATCTTCGCGACGACCGCAAGACTATTGATGAGCTTGCCAAGACCTCCCAGCGCCCCGTCTCGCAAGACCAGGTAAGCTTTTCTGGATCCTACGGTGAATCTATTATATACTAACATATAACTACAGGGTGAGGAAGTCCGCAAGAAGATTGGTGCCTACAAGTACCTCGAGTGCTCGGCCCGCACCAACGAGGGTGTTCGTGAGGTCTTCGAGGCTGCCACTCGTGCTGCTCTCCTGAAGGCCGTCAAGGGCAAGGGAGGCCGCAAGCAGGGCAAGGGCTGCCTGATTCTCTAAACGAACCAATTGTTGAGGTGGTCTGGCTCGAGCAAAGATCATATGTATGAGAGCCTCCACGAAAACAATTGGTGACGTTGTTCTCGGGAAGGAGGAGGGCTTCATGGCCTGCATGCGAAATTGTGGATAATATCGAATCCGGGCACCCGAGTCGTGGAGGTTTCCCCTCACAATTCAGCTGGTCGACCTTGTGTTTTTCTTTTGCCTTTATTTGCAGAATTTGTCTAGGGAGGCGTTGTCTTCATCATAACCCTGTGGGCTTTTCTTTTTCTTTTCCTCTCCTCGTTCCGACGCCGTGAATTTTCAAATGCCAAACCGCCGCGTTGAGGTGGCATCTATAAACCAACTGAAAAGCATCGAAAAAAAGAACCCAGAATTGGAACATCTAGGAGATGGAGAGGGGAAGCCATTCAGTGTAGCACCGGTTGTGCAATTTGGTCAACGCCGTGACTCGCCTTCCCTGGTCGAGTTCCCCCTGTGTCATAGATTCTTGTCCCCTGCGGTTATCTCCCCATACGCGAAGAGCTTGATTCGGCTTTTACTGTTTTCTCTCCCTCCTTTACTACATTTGTTTTTATGTTGCAGCTTATGCATGGTACAGTCTATTTCCACCTGATGTGTACTTCCTCAGGCGTAATTCTGTAGTGTGCATAGCCAAGTGTTTGTAAAGCTGTAAATATTTTAGTGCTTCCAACTACTAGAGTGTTTCAACAATTTCGATATCCATGTTTAAACGTCGTTGTTTATAGTGGCATATTTATGTACCTATTTCTAAGACACGCATAGAAAAAAACCCCCACAACTCCACACTCCACTCCACTAAGCCCCATCTCAACTACCGATTCAAACTCAGCAGACCCTCAATATAGCGCCTAGCGTCCATGCCAAGCCCCTCAACCAGCTTCGACGGAGCCATATCCGCACCGCGGGAAGAACCTGTCAAGCCAGCAGAAGAAGACGCACCGCCTAGATCACGGAAGAAGCGAGCGCCACTGCTGACACGGCCATGGCTTGCCGGGGAGATGTAGTCACTTGCTTTGCGGACGAGGAAGGCCTCCTGAGGCGGAGGAGCAGGGTACGCTTGGGACTGATTTCCGGGGAAGGAGTCATCGTTGTTGGCTATGGAGGAGAGGGCGACAGATGAAGAAGTGGTGGATAGCGCGGTTGGGGTTTGGGTTGGGCTGTGTGGGATGCGGACCCAGACGACCCACCATCCGCGGTGGGTTTTGCTTGTGCGTTCGAGCTCTTGCGGGCGGGACCGCGTGTCTGTGTACGTTGATAGGAGGCGGTGGTGGATTGCTAGGCTTTCAACGCGGGACCAGGGCGATTGGGTTGATGACTGGGAGGGGGATGGGGATGGGGAGCGGGCAGGTGAGTTGGTTGGTTGGCCGGAGATGGAGGTCGTGCTCATGCTGGGGATGTTGGGAATGGAGGAGCGGATGGTCAGGTTAGACGGGTCGTAGACTAGGTCGTAGACTGGCTGAGTTCGAGAGGAGAACCGTTTATTAGGGTCCGGGGAGGTCTCGGACATGGCGATTCGAGAGGCTGCCATTGTTGGGGATGTTGATAATAGAAGGGGTTTTTGGAGAGGACCGAGTTGGTGATGCATGCTTGAGTATAGTGATGGTGACGACAGTGCTGGCGTTTGAGGATCAAAGAGAAATGTAAACATGAATGGTTGATTCTGGGGTGGTGTGTTAGCGAGCTGATCTGCATAGAATAATAATAAAAGCACATACCACATAAATCACGACTTGGAGCTTTGTCGGAGTAGTATCTCGCCCATCTGCTAGGTGTAGATGTAAAGTTCGATGCACTATTCGAGTCTTGGGCTTGCCGTTCTCCGATTCGGGCTCTGGACTTCCCTCTTCTAAATCATCCAATTTTTCAAGATCATCACGAGGCCCAAGAACAAAACGACCCGAAGGACTATTCCCCGTACTGTTTCGATGTTTTAGGCCGGGCTGAGGCGATTGTATAGCACTACTGGGCTGATTCCTCGGGGTTGAGATGTTTGAATTGGATTCGTCTCGCATTGGAGTAGAACTTTCAGGCGGCGTAGATGTCGACTTTGGAGAGAAACTCCAAGAAGAGCCATATCCAAGAGTCAGGTATTTCATGACCGCCTCTGTTGGAAACCCTAGGTTCTCGCTATTTTGCTCGCTGCGAAGTGGCGATGCCTCGTTTCTTGTTTCTGTTTGATTCTTCTCAACGACTTTCGGGAGTGGCTGGGGTGCTGCTGTTATGAGCGGACGAGGTATACCTGGCTTGAAATTGTGATCCGGCGTGGAAGGTTGAGGGGTATCTTCCGGAATTTGCCTTCCACGTTGCTTTCGTGGCTTACGGCGACGCAGGGAGGTTGGGTCCCGCCCAACTCCATACGCAGCATCTCCAAACCGATAAATGCATTCCATCCAATGTGATACATGCGCCAATGAGTGCCGAGAAAGAGCACCGACACCAGTAAATACCACACCATCGGATGGTCGAGGATCATTATCTGCCCCAAGCCATCGACTTTGGTCATTTGACCCTGACAATGCAGTAGATCCCTCGAACTGTGGGGATGGATCACCAAACCTGGAGACAACCAAGTCCACCAACCCATCGGTCCTTGTCACAAAGTCTTCAAGTACTTCTCTTTCCCCGCTGCCCCACTCTTCCTCCCCGACGCCGATCCCCAACTCTCCTCCCGCGGAGAGTTTGATGCCATTATAGATTTCAACAATTGGGTTTCCGGTCAACAGAAGTTCCCAATTCCATGCAAACTTCTCCCAGAAGCGCTCGAGGAACAGACAAAATGTGGACCTGCCGACTTGATGGAGGATGCCGTCTAATTTGAAGTCATGGTGTAGGAGGAATTCCGAGTGGGCGCGACGTAATTGCTGGATCAGTAGAGGCGACGGACCCATCTCTCGCGACGAATAATGAAATGCCGGAGAGTCGGATACTCCAGAGGATCTCTCGGCGGGAATTCGAGTCAGGTCGATAGACTAGCTTAACATAAGCTTTGTGATCTGTGCCGTCATCTCAACCACTTACGGCAACAATCCACCAGTCCTTCTCTAACTCAAGCAAAACGATCCGTGACTTGTCTGTTTCAACATATTCCAGAGTCTTTCCAGCCGAGAAGTTACTGCAGACCAACCACGATTAGATTGGTTCATTTGCGGGGTTTGCGGGGATGCCAACCTAGCAAAGTTGACCATGCCCTGCGCCAGACCTATCTGGCGCAATCTCTCATTCTCTTCACCTTCTGCTGTAGAGCCATCGAGGCGCCGTGCGTAACTCGATTTCGAAGTATAGAACACGATCTGGTCCGCTATCGTCTCGTCGGTAGGTCCGAGGGTCGGGTTATAGATGGCAAGGTACGAAAGTTGGGCTGGAACCACTGAATCATGATCGCTTTCAGTCATCGCATCGTTGGATGGCGTCTGGAGGTCGCACCAGACAGGCAACAACGGTAATGGTTGAAAGACAGATGCATCCGAAGTGGGATCTGGGGTGGATGTTGACATCACGTGGTTTATCGATAAGCTACTATGGAAGCTTCAACTTTCTCCTCTGATGGCTTTTCGACTTCTGACGATTACTCACCAGAATTATGTGGATTATTCCAGGCCCAGGGAGTCTACGTTTCTGCAAGAGACCGTTGGTCCTTCGAGGGCTTGTCTTCAGGTCATATGCTACCAAGACCTCCGATCCGCTCCGCATTCTCTTTTGCGGCTCTGATGAATTCAGTATCGCCCACTTGAAAGCTCTTCATGCTTATCATTTGAAACAGCCGGAGCGTATTTCCTCCATTGATGTCGTCTGCAGACCTGGAAAGAGAGTTGGAAGAGGACTGAAGCAAATTCGGGAAGGTTAGCTTCAATCTACGCTTCCTTGAATGGCTGTGTTTTCTGATTCAATTTCCCTCAGTACCGCTCAAGGCGGCCGCATCTGCTCTCTCACTTCCTATTCATGAGATTGATACTTTCACTGGATGGACGGTACATAATACCAGAATCCACTCAATTGGTATCTTGGCTGACTGTGCTAGCCCCCGACCTCCCCGAAGGGTCACATAAACTTAGTGATTGCTGTATCATTCGGACTTTTTGTTCCGCCGCGCATATTGAATGGTGCCAAGTATGGAGGTTTGAATGTGCACCCCTCGTTACTACCAAAGTATGTGATTGTTACATGTTCAGAATCGAAGAGTAAGACGGCTGACCCGATTGATCAGCTTCCGTGGTCCTGCGCCGCTTCATCATACTCTTCTCGCCGGCGAGACAACTACTGGCGTGACGGTTCAGACATTGCACTTAAAACACTTTGATCATGGAGTGATAATATCACAAACACCGGCTCCGGGGTTCGACATCCCCAATCCAGAGTCCTGCACCGTCCCCGAGTTGGTGGATTTTGTTGCACCTAAAGGAGCACAAATGCTCGTGGAAAGCATTGAAAAGGGTCTATTCGTTCCTCCCATTGAAAATTCTGGTACTGTACAAACCGGAAAGTTGAAACACGCACCCAAAATCATACCAGAGGACCGGCACATAAACTGGGCAAACTGGACCTTAGCAGAAATCAACAGGCGTAACCGAGTGATTGGAACTCTCTGGAGCAAAGCCCTCTGTGCAAGCAATCCTGCAGATGGACCTCTGTCATTCCAGCATAAACGAGTCATTCTCACAGATACTGAGGAGGTTGACCCGCCTAAGGGATGCGATTCATTCTCAATTCTCCCAGGTCTACCGTTTACAAACGCTTCCCACCCCGTCGAGCCAAAGAAGTCACGGCAGCTATACGTTTTTACTGTCGATGGCAAAGTTTTGCGTATCAACCGGATGAAAGTGGAAGGCGAGCAAGATGCAGAGGGTCTGCGAGCTGCTATCAAAGCTCGCATGTTCGGTGATCGAGCATTCCAATATGAAGGCCGGGATTTCACTCCCTTCCGCAACTCTCTTGTATAAATATGATAAATCCTGTGTACTACCACCTCTGTTCTAACCAATACCATTCTGTTTCATCGTTTCAATCAGATCCCGAAGCCAGAATCTAAAAGGATTGTCAATTTCAACTTGAAGCACTGGACCTGAGACTCATACCAATTTGAACTGCTTGACCGGTTATAGAGGCATTCTTAGCCAATGTAACAAACATGTCCGCGCAGTCTTCCACCTCGGGCTATAGCGGGATTCATTAGCACACAAGGCCCATTTCAGAGTTGGGGGATATCAGAATTCCTTACCGCTCGCTTGAGGGTTGTCGCATTTGTCCAACTCTCGATTTTATCGGGCGGGAAGCCTTGACCCTGGGAGATGCTCAGTATTCATCAATGCTAGCGTCGAACATGTGCTACTTACCCATTCAGTGAGCAACAGACCAGGGAGAATAGCATTGACGCGGACTTTCGCGCCTTGGCTCTTAGCAAGGCACTTCATGAGATGGATAGCTGGGCGATACAGAGTCAGCAATCAAACAGCTTGATTTCTAGGAATGATTGCATACATGCTGCTTTCGAGACAGCGTAAGGCAAGCTGCTGCCAGTCGGTAGGACGCCCTGAAAAAGACCCCGTAATAAGCACTTCAATGTTTCCATAGGAAGTGGACAGTTCATGGCTATTTGACATGTTTCGGTAGCTTACCGCAATCGAGGCTGTGATGAGAAAAACACCACCTTCTGGGTTCGCATTGAACGTGGGCAAAGCTGCCTTGAACAAGTACAAGCTGCTCTTGACATTAACCGACCAGCACTGATTCAATAGTCAGTCAAACCAAAACTTTTATCACGGAGGACGCATTCGGAACCTTATCCCAGTCATCGTCGTCCGTAGCATCAAGATCGCCGAAATTGGTCATTTTTGTCCATCCCTTCTCATATATCAGCATTTCATATCCATCGTGGGATTGGCGGTTTGACTCACAGCATTTGAGATAATAATATCCAAGCCACCCAGCTTCTCAATCGTGGTTTTGACGGCGTTAACACAGTCCTCTTTGACTCCAGCGTCCTGTTTCCAGATGCAAAATCATGTCAGTGGTTCGACCTTAGACAGATTGGCCCATGTACATTGGATATGAGCGCCTTACGCCTTGAATAGCCACTGTCTTTACACCATATTTGGTTGCAAGGTCCGAGGCAAGCTTATCCGCAATCTCCTTGCTGGATATATAGTTGATAGCAACGTTGCTTCCCTCAGAGGCGAATTTCTCAGCTGAAAGAGCACCTAAGCCTCTGTCAAACGATATTAGCTTATTGACTATAACCTAGTTCCATACTCCAATTGAAGATTCCTACCGAGAGCCACCAGTGACCAAAACATTGCGACCCGACAAGGAGTAGGGCATGGTGAGTAGAATTGTTTGAGATCAAGCCCAATTACTTTGTTTCAAAGAGGAGAGACAGGGAGATGTAAGATTAAATATACAAAGAGGTCGAAGAAGTTGCGTCGGACTGTCCGATGCGGGGTAGGTACACAAGGGGCCGAGTTCTCCTTGAGGTACATATGTAGATTAAGCGTGGGCTAAGTGTTCGATAATAGATGCTTCTAATATCTTACTGAGTCTGTGGACTGAAATTTGGAGCCTGACTCTGAGCGCCCTTATAAAATTAGTGGCAGTTGACATAGCTTTGGGGGAAAGCTTGCGCACATGTACAGGACCTGAAAAGTAGTCTATATTGGGATTCATAGATCTGTATTCAACAGTCCAAGACCCCTTAACTTATGACCATGAATTATAGATTTCTTACACTGCAGAGTTCTAAATCCCTACATTGAGTGCGTGTGTGGAGAGGGAACTAGTGCGGAACTAGATCTCACGTTGCTTGTCAATCGATTCATTCTTACCTAGATACGTACTTGGTGAGAACATCATTTCTTGTAATATCTGCAACTATCAGATCAGAAATACCGTTAAAGCAGACCAAGCCCGTGTAAATGTACGGCATTTAGATCACAAGCCATCCTGCATATTGAGTTTTCTTCATCCCCCACCAGGCCCGTCGTCCGGCCTGGGCAGGCCATTGAACAAGAAAACGGTCGGCCAGAGGCAACAGCAAGACGCCAGAGGTACTAAGGGAGCTCACACGGGCCCATGATTCAATGTAAATAGTGCGCAGCTTCGGTGTTGACGTAAACACGGAGAGTGTTCGCAAACCCAGACACAAGGCAGCGCATTTGGTCAAAAATAGAAAGAAACGGATGAGTTTTGCGCCTGCTACAACGCAGACTGCTGTAGCGGGACCGTTTGTGAGAATCAAATCAGGGTAAAGCGAGCTGTATTCCTTTGGGAGTTTTTGGTCTGGGTGAAGCCCACGAAGGACATTGAGACAAGCCCAGAAGCATTGAAGCGTAGAGAATGGCGCAGTGAGATAGGATTGGTGGACACGGCGGGCACGTGGCACCGTGACAATGGTGTAGTTGCTGTTATGTGTGCCCTGAGAATTTTGTACATGTTGAGTCTCAAAATCCTTGGCTTTGTCTGCGCTGAAGTTATCTCCGGAGCTCACGAGGTATGTCCGATACGTGTAGATTTGGGGGTTGAATTTCATGCGCTCGAGCATGTAAAGCATCTCAGCTGTGTGACCACCACTTCCAAGGACTACCAACACATGGGTAAGAGATCCCCTTGGGCGGCATTTGGAGGGATTGATATTCTGGGAGATCGTGAGGGAGATGAAGACAACCTAGGAGAGATGACCAAGTTAGATTGATTCAATGGTATGGGGAAAGGGTACTCACGAGGAGAATGCTGGCCCCAAGTGTAATTGCCAGAGTAAAACACCACAGGAGCAGGTCCCAGAAGGATAAAGAAGCAAGAGAGAAGGGCATCTTGAACCACTATTGTATGGTCTCAAGAGTTTGGTGAGACGGCCCGAGGATTTTAGTGTATCATGATCATAACAATAGAGTGAATAATAACAGAAAGAGAAAGATTGAATGCCAACAACAATAGCAATAAGGCAGCCAAGTGCAAGTTCTCAAGTGCAGATCTTCGTGAATAAAATTGGAGTCGCGGTACTCCATACACGTCCCCCGCACGTGCAAGCTCCGACTTGTTTTATTTTCCTCTCTTTGGCATCCGGAACCCTCTCCCTTGTTTACACCAACCCTTTCACTTGTGTTTTCTTCCATGTTACTATGTCATGGCTTCTCTATTTTCTAAGCGTTTGACCTGCTTTTATTGTGGGCAGCGCTCCGCTCGCTCTCATCGCGGGCCTGTTCGCAATTTCCGTTGTGAACATTGTGAGGCTGATAACTTCTTTGACGAGGTAGGTTCATTGATCTGTTCCTTGAATCTACTTGCACTATACTGATGATTCTTCTCTAAACAGAAAGGAGAGATAACAGACCCACCAGCTGTGGTCACCAACGCTGAAGTCTACGCGCCAGGCGCATCAGAATCGCCCTTCGAATCAACCGATTTCGGCGGATCCCAGTCATTTTGCGCCAAATGTGCTCGGAATCAGCATCTATTTACGAGCTCACTAGCTTCGTACTTTCCCCCCTCAGACGATCCCACCGATAGCGAATACGAACGCGGGTATGAGCAGTTCCGCAAAAGTTTGGAGGACCGATACCCCCAGGTTTGCGAGTCTTGCGAACCCATTGTCAAATCTCGCATCAGAAGAGCTGGCTACGAAGCGAAATCGGATCACCTCAGGCGCATGATGGATCAAAGCCGAGCAAACCGAGAATCACGACAGGCGAGGAACCGGAGCTGGAGAAGCTTGCTTCTTCTTGTGGGCGCACTTGCATATTGGGCTAGTATTGCTGGTCAGCTAGCCTGGAACTTGATCAGTGTATCCACCCTCTCCCAGACCTCGCCAAATTTCGATGATTTACCCGATACTGGACGACCTCCAATGGCACCCAACTCTGTCATCTCGTGCGTCAACCAGTCTATCCGTTTACAGCGCATTCCCAGCGAATGTTCGCCTGATCTAGCACCTACTGCTGGTCTGGCGTTGATCGCAGGTGCACTTTCACTCTGGTGGAATCCAAAGCTGCGCATGAAGATAGACGGAATGCCCGGTAAATTCCGTGGCCTTGCAGAGTACTATCAAGCTCAACTCATCGTCATGGTCGTACGATGTGTTTTCTGGGCAGTGATAAAGGATCCGTCTACCAGTGGGTTAGAACCTAAATTGATTCCGGCCTTCCATGCTTTGATGATGGTTTTCACTATTTTGGTAAGTATGTCTTAACCCTTGAACTTTCCATGCGCTAATCAAGACAGTCGGTTTTATTCTCTCGATATATTGTCAGCTACTGTAGCCGTCCACTCGTCAATTGGTCTGATAACAGCTGGGAAACTCAATTCGAAAGCCCCAAGGTGCCTTCTTCTGCACCGGTTGAGTCACCTGTGTCGACTCGAATCACAAGATCTGGCGGAACACCGAAGGCGAACATGAGTGGATTACAGCAGCGCTTTCCGATCAACAAATTGGCCCAGCCTCAATCTCCGTCACCCGTTGAACAGTCGCTTACGGTTGCTTCCAATCTTACGGAGAATGATGGGATGGACTGGTCCCCTTCTATTACCCATAACCTCAGACCGACTGTGACACGGCGAGATCAGCCGTCTGTCCTCGACGGTCCCCATCCATTTCAGGGGCAGATCCCAGCAGCTCCGATGCCTCCTGCGTGGAAGCTTCGCACACAGACTTCAACAAAGCCCATAGAGCAAGTGATTCAGCCTAATCCGTTCCACCGCAGTCCAATTCAACCGCAAGGCCAATGGCAGCAAAGGCGTGCTGATGCTGAACCAGTGTTCAAGGAACCAAAATTCTTTCCTCCTCATGATCACGATACATCCACTGGGCTGGAAACATTGTTTGACCGTGCTTTTAATTTCCAGTCCGATGCTGCCCAAGGACCTGGCTGGTCTCAGCAACCGCAGAACAAGGGCTTGCGTTTCGATGAGACGCAAAGTTATCTCTTTTATGGATGTCTCCGACTAGGTCTGC